CACACACATATATGTATATATATAATTTGTACCTTATTTATCAAATCTTATCACTCCTGTGAGATGGTATGTTCCTAAATTTAGCACAGTGCCTGACACACAGAGCTTAAGAAATCCCTGTTGCTTTCCTGCCTAAGACAAGAGCTCTCAACCTTTTTTGTGCAAAGGATCCCTTGTGCAGTGTGATAAAGCCTAAAGACTCCTTTTCAGAGTAATGTTTTTAAATGCATTAACTGAAATACATAGGTTACAAAGGAATCCATTTATATGGAAAGAAAGCTGGAATTTTTTTCCCTTTCCAAATCCATGGACTCCAGGTTAAGAGCTCTTGTCCTGCAGGGCAGGAATTGTGTCTTACTTGCCTGTGCATCTCTCCCAAGGCCTAGCATAGTTTGTCACACCTTAATCCCTTAATAGGTTGGAGAATGATTGATTAATTAACAATCCAATAAAAACATAGTTAGTGACTGTTGGGTTTTAAGACTTTTTTAACAATGGAGGAAACATTCATCCCATGAAAAACCTCGGGGTTCTGCTTTACTTTACTCTGGTCTGGACACAACTAGGGTATTGTGTTCAGCTCTGGACACTAGACAAAAGACCAATAAGCTAAAGAATGTCCAGGGGCAGGTCGCTAGGGTGTTGAAGGGCCTTGACTTCTTGCTATATGAGGACTGACTGAGAGAACTGGGTCTGTTTTAGACTAGAGGAAAGAATCTTGTGGGGTGAAAGGGTGGGGAAAGTGAGAGGGGAAAACATCATAGCTACCTTGAAGAAGTTGAAAGGCCATCTCACGTGGAAGACATCACACTTTTTTCTGTTTGGCTCCAGAGGGTAGAATTTGGAAGAATTGGTGGAAATTGCAACAGAGCTATTTAGTCTTGATGTCAGGAAAAACCCTCTAACAATTAAGTGCTCTCCAAAAGGGAAACAGCGTAGCTGCCTTGGGAAATATCTGGTTCCTCATAATTGGATGGTTTTCAAGCAAAGGGATGGACAGACACTTCTTGGATGTATAATGGGTCTTCTGGAAAGTTTTAGACTGGTTATCTTGCAAGGAAGCGTAAGTCCCTAAAGATCATGGTAATTGTATCTCTTCCCAGAATGGGAAGTAGTAGTAGTAGTAGTAGTAGTAGTAGTAGTAGTAGTAGTAGTAGTGGTGGTGGTGGTAGTAGTGGTGGTAGTAGTTGTTGTTGTTATTATTGTTAGAGGATTAGTTAGTTAATAATGATAGTTAATAATGATAGCAGTGGATAGAGCACCAGACCTGGAGTCAGAAAGATCCGAGTTCAAATCTGGCTTCAGACACTTACTAGTTGTGTGACCCTGGGCAAGTTACTGGGCAATGATAGTTAGTTAATAATGAGAGTAGTTAGGGCAGCTAGGTGACACAGTGGATAGAGTACTAGCCTGGAATCAGGAAGACTTATTTTCCTGAATTCAAATCTGGCCTCAAATACTTACTAGCTGTGGGACCCTGGGCAGGTCACTTCACCCTGTTTGCCTCAATTTTTGTAAAATGAGCTGGAGAAGGAAATGGCAAACTACACCAGTATCTTTGCCAGGAAAATCTCAAATGGGTCACAAAGAATCAGACACGACTGAAAAGAACCAAACAACTAAAGTACTAGTAAATATTTAGCTATAATGATATTTTTATTTTCTTTTTGGCTAGGCAATGGGGTTAAGTGACTTGCCCAGGGTCATACAGCTAGTAAGTATCAAGTGTCTGAAACCAGATTTGAACTCAGGTCCTCCCGATTCCAAGGCTGGAGCTCTATCCACCGCACCACCTAGCTGCCCTGATATTTTTAAATAAGTCTGAACCCACTGAACAAATGGGATAATGGGATCCTGTTCTGGTCCTTTTTCCTACCCAGTGAACACCGAAGTTTAACTTATCTTAGAAAGCCAAGTAAATGAGAGGCTCAGCACAGGTTAGTCTCACTAAGAAATCTTTTGGTTCCCCACGCTTCCTTCAAGACAATGCTCAAGGGGCAGCTAGGTGGCGCAGTGGATAGAGCTCTGGCCGTGGAGTCAGGAAGGCCTGAGTTCAAATCTGACCTCTGACACTTACTAGCTGTGTGACATTGGGCAAGTCACTTAACCCCAATTGCCCTAGCTTAAAAAAAAAGAAGAGAGAGAAACAAAGACAATACTCAAAGCTTCCTTCTGCAACAGGCCTCTTTGGATCCCACAAGCGGGTAATACCTCCTCTTTCAAATGACCTTTATCTTTTATGAATCTAGTTGGTATTGTTCTTTTCCATTAGAATGTGTGTTCTCTGAGGACAGGGACTGTTTTACTTTTCTATTTGTGTCTCCAGTGCCTTGTATATAGTAAATTCTGAATAAAATGTCTCATTCATTCATTCATTCATAGTAACTAGCACATAGTAGGTACTTAATAAATGCTTGTTGATTGAGAGATTCCTTCCAATTGAGATCCTGTGATTCAGAGTTGCTGAGGAAAAATATAGGTGGGGAAAAAGAAGAGGGGAGGGAAGACTCGGAAAGAAGGTTAAAAATGCATGGATAAAATCAGTTTTAAGAGAAGTCTAAATGCCTAAAATAGAAGAATATTGGATTTGGAAAAGAAAGTCAAATATAATCAAGCATTAAAGCAATAGTTTGCAAACTTTTAGAGTCCCTTTTTAATGGGAAGAAGGATTGAAGGACCTCCTCCAAGATGGTAGCTGTATTAGTGGTTGTTGTTGTTCAGTTGTTTTTCAATCATGTCCAACTCTTTGTGACCCCATTTGGGTTGTTCTTGGCAGAGATACTGGAGTGGTTTGTCATTTCCTTCTCCAGTTCATTTTATAGATGAGGAACTGAGGCAAGCAAGGGTAAGTGACTTGCCCAGGGTCACACAGCTAGTAAGTGTCCGAGGCTGGATTTGAACTCAGGAAGACGAGTATTCCTGATTTCCAAGCCCAGTTCTCTATCCACTGTGCCACCAGCTGCCCAGAAGAACAGCATGTTTGAGGGTGAAAGACAATTAGTTAAGTCTTAGACACTTTACAAATGTAAATTATTATTATTATTATTACTGCTAATATCCATTGAGAAAATACATCATGACAAAAATACACTATGAATTCAATTCACACTTTTAAACACATTTGTATTTTATTATACACAAAAGCATTTGCAGACATTTGAAAAATATTAATACCTCGTAGGGATTGTTAAACCAATCTCTTTTGAGTGATTATGCGTCTCACTGAGGAGGCCTTGAAGTTCTAGAATTTGCTGCAATTAGCATATTTTCAGTAGCACCTGGAGGACCTCACCATCTAGGGAAAATCCCTTTTCCATCTGGAACATAAGAAAATATCTTCCATGATGGATCAAGAGAGAGTTAATCATAATGGAAAGAAGTCTTGACTTGGAATCAGGAGGGACCAGAGTTTGAATCCTGCCTCTGATACTACTTGTATAACTATGAACAAGTCACTTTACTGCTCTGAACCTCAATTTCCAAATCTGTAAAATGATCACAATAAAGCCTGTGGCCACTATCTACTTCCTCTAGGGCTTTGGTGAAGTATGAGAAACACTTTGTAAACATTAAGGTACTATATAAGTGTCAGCTATCATGAGAGTGATGAACACCTTTGGCGATCATGCATCTTTATTTTCTTCCTTGCTTGATGCTCATTATTACAGGTCCATTATCTTTGTAGTTGCCCTCATCAAGGTAGAATGATCTCATGCAACAGAAACTTTAAAACTAAAAGTTGCAACCAATCCAAAGTACAATGGAGAGATATCTAATGGGTTGCCAGAGGGCTGCAATATTTCCACTGGGGACCTATGCACCACGTGGACAAAAAGCGACATTAGAGGTAATGTCCAGCAGATGTGTGATTCACAAAGGAAGTGAACCTATTACATAGAGAAATTGAGAGACCACAGATTGGCAGCCTCACTGTTGCTGTGATGCCTATGAAATAATAACATCTGTGGTAGATTCACTGTCTAAGACTTACGGGAAAACATGAACAATTCTCAAACAGGGTGATGAGATGGTATGGGTGGGTTGTGATCTGCATGGATGGAGGGAATGCTCACACCAATGAGATCCCAGACCCATTGAAATAAAATGCCCATACACAGGCAAAAATGTAATATATGGGTGCTCTTCGGGCGTTCCAAAAGTCTTAATGCAGTTTGGAGGTGGGCGGGCTTTACGGCTTAATACTTTTGCACTAAGATTTTTAAGATACTCTGTATATTAAATGTATATATTGTGTATAGTGTATGACATGTATGCATGTGTGTATGATATTTATTCAGTCAATATCAGGCATGTTATTTATAGACTTGTATACTGCTTACAAGAAAACAGTAGCCACTCTGGGGGTTAAAGTTGGGTTAAAATCCTAGCTCTGACACTTATTGGCCATATTTAACAGAAAAGCAAATTGCTTCACCTCTCTGACTCTCAGTTGCCTCATCTGTATAATGGGGATAGTAATCTCGGCACAACGTATAGCACAGAATTAGTGTGAACAAAATGTGCTAAAAATCTTTCTGAAAAAAGTATGTTAAGTTATGTCCAAACAGTTATGTCCCAAAGATCAGAAACCACTAGAAAGGCTACATTAATATTTCAATCAAGAATCCCTGGTTGAGACACAGCTATTTGCCAAAGTGATATGTTCTCCATAAGAGGGGGATCAGTCAATCAACAAGCATTATTTAAGCACCTACTATGCGCACCAGATACCATTAGGGATACAATAATAGAAGTGAAACAGTTTTTGGCCTCTTGGAGCTTATGTAGTCTATTTGAGAAGAAACTTGGTGATCAGAAAATCAAAGGGGGAAAATGGAGGGATAAATCATCCTTTTTGAAATCTACTTATTTTAACTTTTTTTTGTTTTGTTTTTTAATTTTTTTTAGTGAGGCAATCAGGGTTAAGTGACTTGCCCAAGGTCACACAGCTAGTGCATATCAAGTGTTTGGTCTGAGGCCAGATTTGAACTCAGGTCCTCCTGACTTCAGGGCCAGTGTTCTATCCACTGCGCCACCTAGCTGCCCCTCTTTTAACTTTTATTTAGAAAAATAAATCTCTTTCCAAGCTATTGTCTCCTGTGCTCTTCAGATTCATTGGTCATACATTCAGTGAAAAGTATAGATACACACTATGTGCTGAGCACACAATGCAACAAGTTCTGGCATTTCATGCCTATGCTCATCAGCCATTCATAGCATCTGTACCCCACTCTCCACCTCCTTCTTTCTCGAGAGGGGAGATAATTCAGCAGGAGATGGATGAGGTTGCTATTGCAAAAACAGTTTATATTCCCTTCACTAGAACTTTGTGTCTTCTGTGGACTCTCCCACTGGAAATCCTAGGGAGGAATCCCTGCCATTGAATGTCAGAGTCTCTAATGCTATTCCCATGGTGGTAGGATCAGGGCTGGAATCGTGGGGAACTGACGTGGGACTGGTGGAAGGCATGGGCTCCATAGACCACCTCAGGGGGTGGTGGGGAGGTGGTGGCCAGGACGGAGCACAGTGGTTCATGGCTGCTCAGCACTGAGGTGAAATACTTCATTTCCTCCGTCAACTGCTTGATCTCCTTCCGGAGAGCTGCATTTTGTTTCTCCAGATCTTCACTCTCCTGTGGGTTGAGAGGCCAGGACACAAAGTTAACACTTTAGTGTTTAACGGGAGGCAAGAAGATAATGGAGAAGTTAGGGGATAGTTGGGGCAGGGGAGTCAAATTAGAAATTCATATGCAGAACTACAGAGTGCATCATGTAATGCAAAAAGCACTGGGCTTAAAGTTGGGTTAAAATCCTAGCTCTGACACTTATTGGCCATATTTAACAGAAAAGCAAATTGCTTCACCTCTCTGACTCTCAGTTGCCTCATCTGTATAATGGGGATAGTAATCTCGGCACAACGTATAGCACAGAATTAGTGTGAACAAAATGTGCTAAAAATCTTTCTGAAAAAAGTATGTTGAGTTATGTCCAAAGAGTTATTTAACTGCCTATACCCCTTGACCCAGCAATAACACTACTAGGTCTGTTTCCCAATATGATTAGAGAAAAAGGAAAAGAACTTATATGTTCTAAAATATTTATAGCAGCTCTCTTTGTGGTGGCGAAGAACTGGAAATTGAGGAGATGCCCATCACCTGGGGAATGGCTGAACAAGTTGTGGTATAAGATGGTGATGGAATACTACTGTGCTATAAGAAATGATGAGCTCAATAATCTTAGAAAAACATGGATAGACTTGCACGAAATAATGAAGAGCGAAATGAGCAGAACCAAGAGAACATTGCAATACTGTGTTAAGAACAACGTTGAAGACTAAGTAATTTTGACTACCATCAATAACCAAATTAACTGCAAAGGACATATAAAAGAAGATGCTATCTGCATTCACAGAAAGAACTGATAAAAAGAAGCATGCATAGAATGATTTCACACGTATGTATGTATGTGTGTACATATGTGTATATGTATATATGTATGTGTATATATATAGTGGCCATCTCTAGGGTACGGGTAGGGGAAAAGGAAAAAAAAGAAATTTGCGTGATAACTTTATCATATATTTAGAAAGAAAAGCAAGTTATACATAATAGATTTGCAGTTTCATGTACAATCATTTTTTATTATACTCTGTTATGGAAATACTTATTTTATTCCATAAATTAAAAATAAAATAAATAAAAAAATTTAAAAGTATTCTATAAATGTGAGCTCTCTCTCTCTCTATCACTTTCTCTGTGTCTCCCCCTTCTCCCTCCCTTCTTCTCTCTCCTTCACCCTCTCTCTGTCTCGTGTGTGTGTGTGTGTGTGTGTGTGTGTGTGTGTGTGTGTATGTGTGTGTATGGTTTGGCATCTAGTGGGTAAACCAAGATGATTGGTAAGATGCAAACATAGCTGAATATGTAATGAGAATGAATACCGTTTCTTTCCACTCTTTTTCTATGGCATTTCAGTGGAATTCAGTGGACAGACCACTGACCCTGGAGTAGAAAGACCTGGGCCTCAGTTACCCATCAGTAAAATGATTTATTCTGAATAGACACTGTGTGTGTGTGTGTGTGTGTGTGTGTGTATCAGCTGGGTGACTCAGTGGATAAAGTTTGGTGTATATATCTTCTATGGATGTAATTATTATCATGCTGTGTCTCCCATTAGAATGTGAGCAGGGACCAGTTTTTCCCTCTTCATTTGTATCTTTAACGCTTAGCACAATGCTTGCATATAGTAAGCAATGAATAAATGCTTATTGACTGACATAGTAGGTGCTTAATAAGTGCTTGTTGATTGACTGATTGATTATCTGACTCCCTTCTAACTTCAAATATATGATACTGTGCACTTTTTTTTTTCCCCACTTTGTCCTCCTTTCCTTTTATTTGGATTCAGACTAATGAAGTTCCCTGATTCGGGACTTAACTTTAACGACCTAGTCTATCTAAATACTGAAGTACTTACATTCCCTGTGAATACTAAATATTTAAAGAAACACTCCTCACCTTTTGCATCAATAATTATAATTAATTTTGAATTAACATTTAATTAATAGTAGCAATAACAACTAACATCTATATATCACTATGTGCCAAACACTGCACTAACCACTTTATAATTATTATCTCATTTGGTAGGTGATAACAGCCTTGGGATGGTAGGTGCTATTATTATCACTATTTTACAGATGAGGAAACTGAGGCAAATGGCGATCAAGTGACTTGCCCAGGGTCACACAGCTAGTGTCTGAAGCTGGATTTGAATTCAGGTCTTCTTGATTTCAGGCCTAGCACTCTCTCCAACGCACCACTTAGTTGCTTGAAAGTATTTCAGAAATGAATGATTATATGGAAAACAGTTAATTACCCTCTCAGAGCTCAGGAGCACATTTTCCATATAATTGGGGGGGCTACTATGCTTATGTATGATTTTTTTTTTCAAAAGGTCTATAATTGTCTCTCTGACATCCATGCTAATAGTGAGATGGAAGAGCTGCCTGATTTTTGGGGGAGTGATGAAACTATAATTTCACTGGTATGGGGACCACTTGGGTAAGAAAACCTACTTTATCAATGCAGACCAGTACACATTTTGAAATTTTATAGACTTAAAAAGTTTAATAAAAGCACCTACTATGTCAGTCAATGAGCATTTATTCATTGCTTACCAGATATCAAGCATGGTGCTAAGCATTAAAGATACAAAGGAAGAGGGAAAAAACGGTCCCTGTTCACATTCTAATGGGAGACACAGCGTGAAAATAATTACATGCATAGAAGATACGTACCAAACGCTATCCACTGAGCCACCCAGCTGATACACACACACACACACAGAGTGTCTATTCAGAATAAATCATTTTAGTGATGGGAAACTGAGGCCCAGGTCTTTCTACTCCAGGGTCAGAAGTCTGTCCACTGAATTCCACTGAAATGCCATAGAAAGAGAATGGAGAGAAACAGTACCGCCCAGAATCACACAAGCCAGTATGTGGCAGAGGCAAGCTTTGAACCCAGGTTTTCCTGATTCAAGGCTAGCTCCCTACCTACTATGCAACATTGCCTTTTCTGCATAATATTTTTCATGTAGGATCATAGGATCTCAGAATTTATTTGGTCCGGTGCTTTCCTGACACATGAATTGGACATTGGACCTTGGACAATTGATCCTTGGTGCCCTTCCCCCACCAGCCTACATTTGAAAACCTTCAGCAAACAAATGAACTCACTTCTTTACAATAATAACTGATAGCATTTTTTAAGCAACTACTATGTGCCTGTACCATGCTAAGCATAAAGCATTGACACATACAATGCTTTTCTTAAGTTCTATCATCTGATCTCTACAACCTTTTAGCTCCATTTTGCATATGTGGCAAAAGATGCTCAGACAGGTCAGGTGACTTGCCCACAGTCACACATCTAACACAGGGCAGAGCTGGGAGTCAAACACAAATACTCTCATTCCAAATCCAGCCATCTTTTGACAACACTACCAGCATCCCATTCCCTTTTCAAACAGTTCTAAACATTAGGAAGTCCTTGCTTATAACAAAACGAAAACTATTTCCCTTTAATTCTCATTCTTGCTCTTGGTGGGACAAGTAAACTGAGTCTAATTCTTCTGCCATTTTTCAAGCCTTCAGATGCATGGAGGCTTCTATCAGAATCTTCCTGTGCCTTCTTTGCTCCAGAATAAACATTCACAGATCCTTCAGTTAATCATTGTGTCACTGTGTTCACAGTGCCTTCCCCATCCTAATTACCATCTTCCAGATCAGAGGTTCTTAACCTTTGTTGGTCATGGAGCTGCCTGGCCATGACTAGGGGACCTCTTGTCAGAATAACATTTCAGGGGGCAGCTAGGTGGTGCAGCGGATAGAGCACCGGCCCTGGAATCAGGAGGACCTGAGTTCAAATCCAGCCTGAGACACATAACCCTTAGTAGCTGTGTGACTCTGGGCAAGTCACTTAGACCCAATTGCCTCATAAAAAAAAAAAAAGAATAGTGTTTTAAATGCATACAACACATAGTATCACAAAGGAAACCAGTTCTACTGAAATACAGTGATCAAAACATTTTAAAAATAAGTTCATGTACCCCAGGTTAAAAACTCCTATTTTAGATATGCTCCAGCTCTTCCCTAACTGGGTCCCCAGAACTGAACATATATGCGCACACACATATGTATGTATGTATGTATATGTACATACATGTATACACATATTGTTGTTGTTGTTGTCATTGCTGTTGTGACCCCATTTGAGGTTTTCATGGCAAAGATACTGGACTGGTTTGCCATTTCCTTCTCCAGCTCATTTTACAGATGAGGAAACTGAGGCAAACAAAGTGAAGTGACTTGTCCAGGGTCATGCAGCTAGTAAGTGTCTGAGCCCAGATTTGTCCATGGAACCACCTAGCTGCATACATACATACACACACAAACACACACACATACACACACACACACACACAGGTGTGTATGTGTTTATATATAAATGTGTTTACGTATATATATATTTTTTTATACAGATACATATACATTCATGTATACATATATATACACAAACATGAATGTATATGTATCTGTATAAAAATAATTGCTATGGCTAGCATTTATATAGTACTTTAAAGGTTTGCAAAGCACTTTACAAGTATTATATTATCCTAATAAAAACCCTGGGATATAGTTACCATTATTATCCCCATTTTATAGATGAAGAAGCTGAGGCAGACCTAAGTTAAGTGACTTGCTGGGGATCACACAGATATTAAATATCTGAGGCAGGATTTGAACTCAGGTCTTCCTGACTCATTTATTTATTTGCCACATTCCTTATGTGCCAGGCCCTATATTAAGCACCCGGGATACAAATAAGAAAAAGAAGCTCCCTGTCCTCAGGGAGCTTATAATCTACTGGGGGAAAACACAAAAAAGGAAGCTGAAAAGTAGAGGATAGAGCACCAATGGATATGTTGTTCCAGGGGAGAATTCTCTCCCCTGGGTCACCTACTATACAAGTAGCTTGGGATATGATTTGAAAGTGAGAGGAAGCCAACATTTACCTCTCTGCCTCCAATTTCTCCAAAGCCTGACTGAGATACCATCTCCTCTATAAAGTCT